CGCCCCCCCTCATCATTTCCCCGATCTTCAAAAAAGAAGTGTCATGTATTCTATTCTTAGTAGAGTAGTAATTGTGATGTCTTCTTTATTTTGTGGGGATTAAAAGTAAATTTTTTATGTGGTAAAAAAAAAAAACCTACTTTGGGGGGGTCGGAAAAGATTAATTTTTATTTCCATTATTTGTTATGCGGAAAAAATTAAAATTTGCCTTCAAATTTTGCTTACGATGAGTCTAGAAGGATTAATATCGAAAAACGGGGTCCACGTATCTTCCATTCTCAAAAGATAAAAGAACAAAGAACGAAAGGGAAAACCAGAAAGGCCCCCTGGCCCCTGCAGGCAGGTCCCCAAATCTCCTACCGGGTTAAGCCAAAGCACCCACCGTCAGGGCAGGGCACATTGACTTAAGGGGGGGAAACGGCAACAAAAAAAAAAAACAAAAATAAAACCATAAAAAACCCCTGAAAACAACCGCAAATTTGCTGCTTTAAAACCAAAAACCCCTTTATTTTTTCCATCAGCATTGCTGGGACAAACATTTTTATATGGTGCAAAACTCACCACACTGCCCTTTCTTCATATCTGGGCCAAAAAATTTATCCCTCACAGTTATCTAATGAATGACCTCAGACTTTTTAGGGCATCCCCAGGTTCAAAAGCCGTAAGAACTATGCCCGACCCTAAAGGGGGTTTTAAATGGAGTTTTTTCAATTATTTTTTTTTTTATTATCACACGGCCGACCCCACCAGGCGGGTGGCCCGAAAAGAAAAAATTCACCATCTTTCACTCCATCACTGTTTCCCCAAAGGGGTGCTTACACTCGTTTTTAAACGCAACATTAACCCCCCTCCTTCAGAGGGGCGGCCTGTATTTCCCTCCCCAGGATCAATCCGGCCGCCGGTTTCCTGAACCCCTTTTTTTTAAATGTTACTTTGCTCAACTCCAACAGCCGTCAAGATTAAAAACCATTTGTCTCCATTCACTCCTATCAACACGCTAAAGCTGTGCGGGGAAGTCCAACCCCCTCGCACAAAAAAACCCTTTTACCCCCTCCCCCCAAACCCCTTCCTAGGCCGACCCCACCCCCCCTTTTCCTTTTCCACTACAGACTGATAACCTCTTGGCATTTGTTTCGCCCCCTTTCTTCTAATGCCCGAACCACCTCAACAACCCTTCCTCAGCCCTCTGGAAAAACATTTTTGGTAATCCCGCACCCCCTCCTAACTTCCAAATACAATTCTCTCATTATATTCAACCCACATTGCCCTCGACATGACATTCCACCCCTCCAGCTTCTCCTCCTGCAAAATTCATCACCCCCTTCAAACCCATTAAAGGTTGGTAAAATTCCCTTATACATTCCCTTTTTTCCCTCCAAGGCAAAGTTTTTTGTCCCCACAGCTCTAAGGCCCCACCCCCACTCTTTTTCCCCCATCAATTCTTGATTCACCTCATTTTCATGACCCATCCGCTGCGTCCCCTCCCAAATATTGAATCGTTTTACCTCCCCCTACTCTTCCTCCAATCTGTATTCAATCTTTTTACCTAAACTTTTGTTTCCTATAAACTTCTCTTTCCTGATTCACCTTTAATTTCTTCTTTTGCCACCCTACCAAATTATCCACAATTCTGCAACTTCCTGAATTCCCCAAAACACAGTGTCATCGCAAAAAGCAGCTGTACAACTCCCACTTTGTGGTGATTCTTTATCTTTTAACTCCCGCCCCTTGCCCCAAAACCTCCATTTACTTCTCTTACAACCCCCTCTATAAATATATTAAACAACCACGGGTGACATAAACCCCATCTTGTCTAAGGCCTACTTTTACTGGGAAAATTTTCCCTCTTTCCTACATACTCTAACTTGAGCCTCACTATCCTCGTAAAAACTCTTCACTGCTTTCAGTAACCTCCTCCCACCATACAATTGCAACATCTTGCCACATTGCCCCCTATCCACCTGTCATACGCCTTTTCCAAATCCATAAATGCCACAAAGACCTCTTAGCTTATCTAAATACTGTTCACTTATTTGTTTCACTGTAAAACCACCTGGTCCACACACCCCCTACCTTTCCTAAAGCCTCCTTGTTCATCTGCTATCCTATTCTCCGTCTTACTCTTAATTCTTTCAATTATAACTCTAAAATACACTTTACCAGGTACACTCAACAGACTTATCCCCCTATAATTTTTGACTCTCTTTTTTTCCCCTTGCCTTTATACAAAGGAACTATGCATGCTCTCTGCAATCCTAGGTACCTTCCCCTCTTCCATACATTTATTAAACAATTGCACCAACCACTCCAAAATTTATACCCCCCTGCTTTTAACATTTCTATCTTTATCCATCAATCCCGGCTGCCTTACCCCCTTTCATTTTACCTACTGCCTCACGAACTTCCCCCACACTCAAAACTGGCTCTTCCTCATCCTACAAGAGTTATTCCTCCTTGCCCTATACACGAAATCACAGCTTCCCTATCTTCATCAACATTTAACAATTCCTCAAAATTTTCCCTTTCCCATCTTCCCAATACCTCTAACTCTCCATTTAATAACTCCCCCTCTCCTATTTTAAAACTGACAAACCATTTGTTTCTCTAGGCTTTCTTAACTTGTTAATCTCACTCCAAAACTTTTTCTTATTTTCAACAAAATTTGTTGATAACATCTCACCCACTCTCTCATTTGCTCTTTTTTTACATTGCTTCACCACTCTCTTAACCTCTCTCTTTTTCTCCATATACTTCCCTCCTTGCATCACTTCTACTTTGTAAAAACTTTCATATGCTAACTTTTTCTCCCTTACTATCTCTTTACATCATCTTTTCCCCCAAATCGCTCCTTTTCCCTCCTGCACCACTTTCCTGTAACCACAAACTTCTGCTGAACACTCTAACACTACATTTTTAAACCTACCCCATACCTCTTCGACCCCTTGCCTATGCTCTCATTAGCCCATCTATCCTCCAATAGCTGTTTATATCTTTCCCTAAACTGCCTCCTCTTTTAGTTTATAAACCTTCACCCCTCTCTTCCCCGATGCTTCTAATTCTCCTTGTATCCCATCTACCTTTTACTCTCAGGTAGTACAACTAGAAAGTGATCTGTATATCTGTGGCCCCTCTATAAACATGTACATCCTGAAGTCTACTCAACAGTCTTTTATCTCCAATACATAATCCCAAAAAACTACTGTCATTTCGCCCTACATCATATCGTGTATACTTATTTATCCTCTTTTTCTTAAATTTTGTATTACCTATAACTAAACCCCTTTTATACAAAGTTCAAAACAAAAGGGCTCCCATTATCATTTCACCTGGCACCCCAAACTTACCCACCACACCCTCTCTAAAAGTTTCTCCTACTTTAGCATTCAAGTCCCCCACCACAATTACTCTCTCACTTGGTTCAAAGGCTCTATACATTCACTTAACATCTCCAAAATCTCTCTCTCTCCTCTGCATTCCTCTCTTCTCCAGGTGCATACACGTTATTATGACCCATTTCTCGCATCCAACCTTTACTTTAATCCACATAATTCTTGAATTTACACATTCATATTCTCTTTTCTCCTTCCATAAAAATGATATTTAACATTACTGCTACCCTTCCTTTGCTCTAACTCTCTCAGATACTCCAGATTTTAATCCCATTTATTTCCCCCCACTGAAACTTCCTACCCCCACAGTTTTGTTTCGTTAGGGCCAATTTTATTAATGTTTATTATTTTCAATGTTTCCCTTTGCTTTTAACCCTTTCACGTCCAACCCAATCTGAAACATGTCCACAATGTCCAAAAAATTTTAGAAAAAAAAAAAGAATTTTTTTTTTTTCTTAAAAAATGGTAGAGAATCTTTTTGGGGGTAAAAAAACAATAAGTACAAAATTTACGAAAAATTAAAATTAAGCTTTGCGAGTTTTGTGCGTTAGCGCATTCATGATCGGTGTTTTTTCTCTTTTAAGCCCTTTTTTTGGGGCCAATTACTGTTCAGTCGTAAAATTTTCTTTGATATTTGTTATTTCCCTTCCATTTATAACTGAGCAAAAAAAAATTCCCCACTAAACTATTTCAAAAAAAAGCATAAAGTGATCACAATTTGGTAATTTTGACTAATTCTGCAAATTTAAAGACAGGGTCCAGAAAAACAATGCAGGTATTCCCGGGATTTAAAACATTTCCTCTGTTTTAGTTGTGTTCCCAGTTTTACACATGAAATTCCTTTTATTTTTTATTCAAAAGAGAATTTTATTTACTCAAAAATAGAAGATTTACTGTTATGCAACATTGTAATAATTGTATAAATAACATCAGGGCACTTGTGAATGCATATCAAATGCACCACCTGGACGCGTACTGGACTGACATGATTTGTTTACTCATAAATATCAGCAAAAATCTAACATTTCTGTTACTCTGAGCTCAATTTTCAGCCCTGAAGCCAATCAAAATTACCTCTATTTCTGTAACATATCTTCTATTCTATAAAATGAGACCAAGAAAACAAGAACACAATCATAAAAACTATATGAAAATATGCCACAAATTCACCACTTTAAACTGAAAACACGGTCACAGTTTTTATGCCCTGCATCCTGCAGGATTTTTTTATATGGTGCACACTTACTGCATAGACCCATTCTCTCATATGTATGTCCACTATGTCCACACACAGCTTATCTGAGTGAGATGAGCTCATGGCACAGATAGTGACCTCAAAGCTGTGCTACTACGGCACAGCCAGTGAAGTAGATTAAGGTTAAAAATTCAGTACAGTGCGTTTTTACTTATATATTTTTTAGCTTTGCATCAATTTTTTCAGTCTAGCACAAGTGTGTACTTAATAAATGATAGTGTAAATAGGTTTTTAAGCTTTTACATGCACTGGCAAGTGTAAAAAAAGCTGGGAATGGCTTTACAGTGGTAGTCTGGAAGTTAACCTGTTGTATTAGTGGAGTATGCCTGTACTCACTTGCACCTCCTTAATCTTACCTGAAAGTCGACGAGATATTTTTGGTTGAGTCCATCATCTTGCAAGGCTTCCACCCCACCATGCAACCTCTCATACATTGCAGCCTTCTTCTCCAAGATTGTCCTGTAAAACAATATATGGAAAGTTGGTTTATTATTAGTGAGACTACGGATTAGTTGGACTTGAGCCCTGGAGGTGGGCAGTACAGTGCCTGTACTCTGAAGGAGGGATGGGGATATTTGCAATTTTGAACCATTGGATCAGTGTACCACTGTCAAGACAGTGGTGGAGTGAGTGATGGTGAAAGTGTTTCTTCTTTTTTGGGTTACCCTGCCTCGGTGGGAGACGGCAAGTGTTTTAATAAAGACCACTGATGACATGTTATTTATTTATTTATTTATTTATTTAGTAATTTGAGCATACATACAGAGGTACAAAAAAATACAGGTAAGAGCAGCATGCCAAAGCCACTTATATGCATAGCATTACGGGCTATGTTAGATAAATGGACACATATACAGTGGAATCTCTACTTGCGAGCACATCCACGTGCGAGTTTTTCCAAATAAGAGCAGTCGATGGGTCGATTTTTTGCTTCCATACACGAGCAAAATTTCCATAAGCAAGTAGACCTCAAGCCAGGTTCCTTGATGCTGGTGAGGGGCTCTTGCTCTTGATCTAGGGAATTATGTCTCATTTGTTTGTTGGACTATCTTATTGAAACTTGGGCAATGTATGATGGAGAGATGCTTCTTAACGTACACCAAAAATGAAAGAAATCTAAGCATAAATAATGGAGTTCACTTCTCAGCAATTAGCCTTCCCTTAGCGGTATTTTCATATGTTTTTTATGGTTGTATTATCTTTTTTTTTTTTTTGGCTCATTTGATAGAATGGAAGATATACAATGGACCCTCGACCAGCGATGGCATCGATTAACAATAAATCTGACTAGCGATACATTTTATCGCAAAAATTTTGCCTCGATTAGCGCTAAAAAACTCGACCAACACTATTCGTTCCGTCTGAGACGCGTCCACTTCTGGCCAGTGTTTACAAGCCAGCCAGCCACCGCGGTCGCTTCCAAGCATACAATCGGAACATTTCATATTATCACAGCCTTTTTAGTGATTGCACCTGCAAATTAAGTCACCATGGGCCCCAAGAAAGCTTCTAGTGCCAACCCTACAGAAAAAAAAGGGTGAGAATTACTATGGATATGAAGAAAGAGATCATTGCTAAGTATGAAAGTGGAGTGCATGTCTCCGAGCTGGCCCGGCTGTACACAAAACCCCAATTAACCATCGCTACTATTGTGGCCAAGAAAACGGGAATCAAGGAAGCTGTTTTGCCAAAGGGCAACTATGTTTTCGAAACTGAGATCGCAAGTGATAGAAGATGTTGAGAGACTGTTATTGGTATGGATAAACGAAAAACAGATAGCAGGAGATAGCATCTCTCAAGCGATCATATGTGAAAAGGCAAGGAAGTTGCATGACGATTTAATTAAAAAAATGCCAGCAACTAGTTTTGATGTGAGTGAATTTAAGGCCAGCAAAGGTTGGTTTGAGAGATTTAAGAATCGTAGTGCATACATATGTGTTAAGGCATGGTGAGGCTGCCAGTTTGGACCAAAAAGCAGCTGAAAAATATGTGCAGGAATTCAAGGAGTACATAGACATGAAGGACTGAAACCTGAACAAGTGTTTAATGGTGACACTGACAATGTTGTGAAACACTTTAGAATGTAAAAAAAGGGAACGGGAGGTACAGGCCTCTATGGGCAGATAAGTTGTGCGACGGGAGGTCCAGTTGACTCTCAAGCTGGTCCTAGTGGCATTAAAAAGAAGAAGGGAAGTAACCCCGAAAAAGGACTTGCCACCTCAAGTCCTAATGGAAGGGGATTCCCTTCTAGACACTAAGACCATCAACCACACTCCCCTCTTCCCATCCCATCAATCATCCCCAGATCTTCAATAAAGGTAAGTGTCATGTAACTGTGCATGTCTTCTTCATTGTGTGTATTAAAAATTAATATTTCATGTGTTAAATTTTTTTTTTTCAATACTTTTGGGTGTCTTGCACGGATTAATTTGATTTCCATTATTTCTTATGGGGAAAATTAACTTGACTAACGATTATTTTGACTAACGATGAGCTCTCAGGAACGTTTGATTGCTTTCACGACGAAAAGTACCTTGAAATTGAGCTTAACGTAGAAATGTTCAATTGTTTTGGCTAAGAGTAAACAAACGACGTCACTGTCCATTCCAATATGCAGTCGTAAATGGGTTGACATTATTTATAAAATTATTGCAATAAGGCATAACAGTAAATCTTATATTTTTTGTGTGAATAAAATTTACAAATTATTTATACTGTAATAATAATAATATGTATAATAATAATTGTATAATATAAAATAATAATAATAATAATAATAATAATAATAATAATAATAATAATAATATGTATAATAATAATAATAATAATAATTAATAATAATAATAATAATAATAATACGTATAAACCATACCACGGGTGGGGTTTGATCCCGCGGTCAGAGAGTCTCAAAACTCCAGACCGTCGCATTAGCCACTCTCTGACCGCGGGATCAAACCCCACCCGTGGTATGGTTTGTTTGCAATCGTGTCATTACGACTTCCTGAGTCAATAATACGTATATTAATACATATACAATAATAATGTACTACATAATAATAATTATAATAATAGACGGCTTCAAAAGGCAGTCACTAGATGATAGTGTTTATCACAACAAAGAGGGAGCGGTTGTGGCTGCCTCCACCTGTTACATAATGACATTTTTATTCACTTTAGAGTATATATCAGGTTTCTATGTTATTTATATTGTTTATTATTTCATATTAGATGAACTGTGATAGATAAATAAGCTATAGAGTTGATGACAGCAAAATATTCGAGGAACATTTTGTCCTATCTCCAGACAAACACTCGTCGGCCAACACCGCCAAATATATAATGACATTTTATTCATTCTAGAGTACGTATATTTATATTGTTTGTTATGTCATATTAGATGAACTGTGATAGATATATAAGCCATAGAGTTGATATTAGCGAAATTATTGAAGTACACAATTCCACTGGAATGGATTAACCCTTTGACTGTTTCGGTCATATATATATGTATATATCTTACGAGGTACCACGTTTGACGTATATATACTCATAAATTCTAGCGGCTTCAAATCAAGCAGGAGAAAGCTGGTAGGCCCACATGTGAGAGAATGGGTCTGTGTGGTCAGTGTGCACCATATAAAAAAAATCCTGGAGCATGCAATGCATAATGAGAAAAATAAAAACTCCGACCGTTTTTTTAATTAAAATGCCGACTTTGTGGTCTATTTTCGTATAGTATTTATGGTTGTATTCTCATTTTCTTGGTCTCATTTGATAGAATGGGAAAATATATTATAGAAATACAGGTGATATTGACTGGTTTTACTATAAAAAGAACCTGGAAATAGAGCTCAAAGTAGGGGAAATGTTTGATTTTTGCCAATGTTCAAAAGTAAACAAATGTCATTGTCCAATAAATGTCCAACTAGCCATTCTAATATGCAGTCATGAATGGGTTGACATTATTTGTACAATTATTACAGTATTGCAGTAGTCTGCATAACAGTAAATCTTCTATTTTTTGTTTGAATAAAAATTCAAAATAGAAAGCAAGAGTAATATCATAGGGGCCTGGAGACGTGATTAATGAACAAAGAAAATGTTATTTTAGAGCCAGGAATGTCTGCATTGTTCATTCTGGACCTTATTTTGAATTTGTCGTATTTTTTAATTTTCATGAAATTGGCCAAATTGCAAATTTCTGACCATGTTATTGGGTAGTCGAAATCGGTAAATGGGCAGTTTCTTGTACTCAATCGATAGAAAAAAATGGAGTTCTAAAGAAATAGCTATGAGTTTGGTCGACTGTAACATTGGAATTAGCCGAAAATAGGGCTCAAAGTGGGCGAAATCGGCAATTTGTAAATATCGCTGAGGTCGCTAACTTTGCGAGAGTGTAATTCCGTCAGTTTTCCATCAAATTTCGTTTTTTTTGTCATTACAACCGGGAAAAGATTCTCTATCATTTCATAAGAAATTTTTTTTTTTTTTTTAATTTTGCGACACCAGGAGACACCTCAGGATTGGGGGTTGCGACAGTCAAGGGGTTAATTTCCTCTTAAATTATATCTTACATTTCCACTATCCTTTTCCTTTTTTTTAATCACACTAAGAACAGTAATTATTCACTTCCTTAAAAATACAATGACACAAAATAAAAATAACCTTATTTTTGTGGTTTCTCGTATTTTATATTCACATAGACATCCAGACTGCTGCTCATGTACCAGAGTGAGGAACTCAGTCATTAATTTTTTCCTAGATTTCTCTAATATTTTTTATTTCTTCTTCGCACATCTGCAGTAGGACCAATTTTCGAGGTGATCTTCGCCAAATTTTGGGAAGACTTAGCAGTTGCTCCTTTAAGGACATAATTTGCATTGAGAGTGACTGACACTTAGTCAGGTTCTCCAGGAAGTTTGGTTTGCTGTCCATTAAGTCCCAGTAAAGACGACTGGCTTATTGGGAAGACTGATAAGTTAAGTATATTCAGTTATAACTTGACTTAAAAGAGACAATAAACAGAATAACCACGCGGAACACTCACTAGTTAGGCTGGAGATTCATCTGTAAAAGCTTGCATTACAACGCCCAAAACCCACAACACCCACATCCCAGAGGATCTGAAACACTTATGTCCATCTTTTTAACAAATACCACTGACAATACTCTTGAAGAAGGATAAAATAGTATATTTGTCTAGAATATAGTTTAACACTGAGCATGCTCTTGAAGATGGATGCAATAGCATGTGTCTAGTATATAGTGGTGTTGGCTCTGTTTAGTGAGATGTATACCTGGATATGGTATAAACCTTAGTAATAAATACTTGCAAGTTGGTTTAGAAAGACACGTAAGCAAACACTATGACATATTTATTAGAAAACGTTTCAGTCCTGGGACCTTGATCACTTCTAACATACAGAGGTTGAAAGACATTATATATAGGCAGAGTGATG